TGGGCTGAGACGGGCAGCTGTAGAAATTTTCTGTGGCTGCCCTGAGCTCTGCTGCTGGCTGTATGGCTGGCGCCAGGGGCAGGAGCTGGAGGAAAGTAGGTGCAGCACAGGCATGTGGTCAGTGGGGTTACCACCCACCAACAGAACGGGGCTTACTCTTGCCGTGCCCGCTTCCCTTTCCCTGTCTTGTATGTGTGCTAAATGATGAATTAAAAGGAGTTGCAAAATAGGGATACCGTACCTTGGTATAATTCAGAAAGCCATGGATACAGAAAAAATAATGCCAGGGAGATTCACACAGTAAAAACTTGAATGGTTAAATCATTTCCCTAAACATTGGAGTTTTCAGCTACAGACTAAAATTAGTTATGAGCAGTGAATATTGGTGAATAAACCACTCACACCTCAACCAAATTAGGTTTACAAAAATAACCATTTGGCAAGTGTACCCAGCAGGGTCAAGCTCCGCCGCAGCCCTCATCCGCGCAACTTCCGCCTTCAGCGCGCCCATCTCCCCGCGCATCTCACTCGCCTCTCCCCTCGCCGCTCCCACCTGCGCCTTCAGGTCCTCCACTTCAAACGAAGCTAAACTATTTCCCACCTCCCCCCCCTCAATCTTTTCCGCCAAAGCGCCCGTCGCCGCCATCCCCTTGAGATGGGCCATGGCGCTTCGCATTTCGGCCATTTCGTGCTCAACGCAGCCATGGCGTCGCCTTGCTCCCTCAGCTTCGTTTCCAACGCCGCCACGCGCTCCCCCACGCCGCCCGCCATCTCTTCCAGTTGCACCTTCAGCACCATGCCGTTCACCAGCCTCAGCTCCATGTCCCGCGGTGTCGTCGCCATTTTTTTTTTTCACAAGGCTGTCCAGCCTTAGGCTGGAAATCCGTTTGGTTGTACACTGCAAAGCACGCTTATGCAGAGCAACTTCTAGATTGGAGAAAGGTGAAAAGGGCGAGAGTGAGTTCACTACGCAAAGGAAACGTGAAACTTCAAATGCTCATGGCAGATGTGTGGCGGGTCGTCGATCAAAATTGCTGGGTCTTTGGTTTTGGGCGTGTGCTACTTTGCTTTGTATTTGAGCCAGCAGATATTGAAATGAACGGTTGGATTTAGGGTGGATGCTGTTAGGGTGCCGACGTGCGACCCTCGCTGTGCCCAAGCATATGCGATTCGACAGGTGGCCAGCGTGAACCGCGGGAAGTGAGTGAGCAACCCCACCCCACCAAGCCAAAATGCGGTGGAACTAAACCAAACCATCCCAGCTTGAAATCAAGTCAAACTCCGTATTCGCCTTGACTGGCCCTGAAATAAGCATGCAAGCATGCATATTTTGTGCACCTTTTGATAGAAGTATGATGAATATGTACTAAGAGCAAGGGGCAGCTAAATTTCTTGTTTAAGAGCACAATTTGACAAAAGGAGCCATGCTTGGAAGGTGCTACTACATTACGAGCACAATTCCGGTTAGGTTAGCGAATGATCACATAGAATGGATAATTCAAATTGTCCCAGACTTCGAGCCAAATCCACATGACCTCTATTACGAAAACCATCTTGCAAACATGCCTTTATGCTTCCCACTATGTTTCAGTGTCACTTCATATTCCTGTAATTGCCGCAAAAACCCAATGTTGGGCTGCACTATTGGTCGGCACTGCCGCACGTGGGATAGAGCTGTTCGCAGGTCCCACCCCTTGGTCTTCATCATATATGCAATCACTATCGTTGCACTCCGTGACATGCCTGGGCGAAACAACACAAAGAGGTACATAAGGGAATAAGAGAACAAGAAAAGGGTGTATGTTGGGCTGCACTATTAGTCGGCACTACCGCACATGAGATAGAGCTGTTCTGAGGTCCCATCCCACCCCTTGGATTTCAATCACCCATAATTCCTGACTCTTGGGAGTTTGTCACCCAACCACTGCCAGTGCTTAGCTACCATACCATGCACTGGCACCCCGACCGGTTTTAGTCGTGTTTTGAGTCGACTCAAAACACGACCCACTGCCAGTGCTTAGCTACCATACCATGCACTGGCACCCCGGCCGCTTTTACCACCTTGTCGATCATGTGAAGCAGCCATGAAAGTGAGCTACGGACAAGATATTAGCCATGTTTTGAGCAAGTACGGGGAGAGAAGGAGCACCCCTTCAGACTCTCCATCACACACCAGGAAACCACCCCCTCACTGCCAGAAAGTGCACCAGCACGCCTCCTGCCTTCCTGCCCTCCTCAGTAGCGTCAAAGCACCCCTCAAAGTGAGAGGTCAAGTCAACGTGCATGGCATCATCAGCCATGTGCACGAGCGTGTATGAGAAGGTGTCAGATTGTGCACAAGCGTACAAGAGAGTGCCTCACCACCAACCCTCACCTGCTAGACAATGCACCAGCACGCCTCCTGCCTTCCTGCCCTCCTCAATAGCTTCAAAGCACCCCTCGAAATGAGAAGTGAGGTCCATGTGCACCAGCGTGCATGAGAAGGCAACGGTGGATGGTTATCAATCAACCCTTCCTTACCTGCCAGGCACTGCACCAGCACGCCTCCAGCCTTTCTCCCCTCCTCAATGGCTTTAAAGCATCCTTCAAAGTGGGCAGTGAGGTCCACGTGGCATCCGCCACGTGCACCAGTGTCTATGAGAAGGTGTTGGGGAACATGAATGGCTGTATCTCACCTGCCACGCAATGTAGCATCCAACCCTCACCTGCTAGACAGTGCACCAGCACGCCTCCAGCCCTCCTGCCCTCTTCAATAGCTTCAAAGCACCCTTCAAAGTGAGTAGTTAGATCCACGTGCATGGCATCCGCCACGTGCACCAGCGTGTATGAGAAGGTGTCGGGGAACGGAGGCGCGCCCGTGTCATTCGCTACAGTCACAACACTCTTGATGCCCAGCTCCAGCAGCGCTTCTCTACGTGCATGTGATTGGGCGAGCCGGAATGAAAAAAAACATGTGGGTAAGGGTGAGAAAGGAAGGATTTCCCTGCCCTTCGCTTCAGTCACAATGCTTCTTAACCCCAGCTCCAGCATCGCTTCTCTGAATGTGATTGGGTCAGGTAAGATGAGACAAACATGCAGGCATGGGTGAGAAAAAACAGGAACCTGTGCCACTCGCTACAGTCATAATCCCCCTTCATCCCAACGTGCTATAGCAGGTGTGCATGCTTACCATTTTACATAACCACCTGTTTGAGGCACCTGGTTACCAGGTAACCCGGTTACCTATTTGAGGCGGAGTTAAGGCTTCCCAGGTATAACCCTTCGTCGATTCTATCCGGCTTTCGGTACATAAACACCGAGGAAGGTGACGCTGTGAAGAGCACAATAAAATGCCCCGTGGTTACTTGGTTACCTGTTTGAGGCGGAGTTGAGGCTTCCCAGGTACAGCCCTTCGTCTATTCTATCCGGCTTTCGGTACATAAACACGGAGGAAGGTGACGCTGTGAACACGACGGCTCGCGGTTGCAGGGGAATCTGGAGCTCCGGCGTCCCCTCCTCTGCTTCTGCCGTCAAGCCTCCCCCAGATAGCACCTCCTTTTGAGTTGGCTCGGAAATGGTTGCGCCTCCCCCCGATAGCACCTCCTTTTGAGTCGCCTCATTAGTGGTTGGGCCTTTCCCCGATTGCACATCCTTTTCAGTTGCCACAGTATTGGTTGCGCCTCCCCCGTGTAGCACCTCGTTTTGAGCTGCCTCAATACTGGTTGCACCTCCCCCGGGTAACACCTCGTTTTGAGCCGAGGCGACGGCAGTTGCGCCTCCCCCGGATAGCACTTCCTTGAGAGTCGACTCTATAGTGGTTGAGCCTTCTCCCGATTGCATGTCGGTTAAAAGGTAACTGAGAATAATTAGTATTCCTCAGCAGGAGGATGCCAGAGCTGCTACAGCCAGTTTTAGAATCTTCTCAGAACTGATTTTGCGCAGCAGACGAATGAACGGTGTTATTGGAGACGATATCTGTCAATTAGTTGTGGATGATGTCAGTAAGACGTTAATCGCCAATCGACGATAGTGAGAGAACGTTTACCGGTGAGCGTAGCGATTTCTCCTACAGACAGAGGTTAAATCAGTGATGTTACACCAATGAGCTGTCATATGTTACAAGTGGAACTCCGCTCCTGGAAGTCCTATCTGTCAGCCTAGTGGGTCGACAATAATCACGTAGTAATCTTTATTTCACTCAAATGAGTCGGTTTGAAAGTACTATTTTAGACGGCAGTCGCACGCAATCGTCAAACGTGTCTAGCACGAAGAAAAGCTCGTCGCACACGCGTCGCAAGACTTGTACGACTGCGGTCTGGAAGTCCGCAATTATAAGAAGAATGAAACTGAGGGCTTGCACTTAGTTTCGTTATTCGTGTTTTACTTAGGGGTGGCTGATTGCCACCGCGGCGTTGGAACAGACGTTGGGCGATACAGGGTGCATCACCGCGCCTCAGCTCCTCTGGTACCCTTTAGAGTTAGTCTTACATAAGCGGAACTCGAAACTGTAGCGACGTTATACGGAAACTGTGCAGAAGTCCTGCGAGGTGCTTACCTAAACGTCGATCACAAATGACACATAGCAGAGGTTGTTTCAGAGCGATTCGGGTCTGTATGTGACACTTGCAGGGACCAGACGCACATCGGACATGCAACGAGCAAAACAAACCCCGAGGCAAAAAAATCCAATCACCGCCTGGGAAACGGAACTTTCAGGAAATCCCACTCCATTTATTATTTTCGCCACCCTAGATTTTGCCAGAGCTTTGGAAAACCTTGAGCAGAATTTGTTCACACTATATCGCGTTCGTTCAAGAAGCCAGCTCGTACCTTCCAGACAATGCTTGACGTTTAGTCTGGTTGTCATACGAGGCGGCTACCCGCTGACTTCCGAAGATTCAATAGCATCGTAGGATCGTCGTTTGTCCTGTCGTAGCGAGCCTTTACAAAAGGCAATCGCATTTCCTGAACCTGGTGGAACCTTCATAAGTGCACGATTTGTGTAAAGAAACATTCAGTAAATGGCTCAGGATGCGACGAATTCGGACGATGCCGGGGGGATCGAGGTAGCAAACGATGCGTCTGTGCCGGTGGTGGTGGAGAAAACGGGAGAGGGGGTGAAGTTTGAAGAGCATCAGCTTCCCATCGACATCGCGTACAACAAATTCGCAGGTACCGCGTTTCTCGTATGACTGGATATCAATGGCTGTCGCCGAGTCACCGACGGACATTGATTTTACCTCTCAGTGCATATTCGCCCATCCCAGAATCGCAGGTACCGCGTTTCTCGTATGACTAGATAAACGACTGTGACTCCGACTGACATTGACTGACATTAGCATGACTTTTCTCATTGTTTATGCACGCAAATTGTAATTTGTCAGTGTACATCTCTTGACTGAATAACCTCTCTCCCCTGTCCCACACCAGACTGGCTGGTGGATAGGAAGCGGGTACCAGCCAATTGGAGGCAACGAGTAGCAGCCATTCAGCAGCGAATCACGAAACTGGTTACCACATTACCACGTCACCATGATCCCTGGCTGCAGTCGCTCTCCGTGGATGGTGGGTACATGGGTGCATGCATGAATGTATGGATCATGCATGGGGCATCCATGGGTGCCTGAATGCATGTGTGCATGGGATATCGATTGGTCCATGGGTGCATGCATGGTGCATGCATGGGCCTGCTCGAATCTAGAATCACATGACAATAGAGGAAGAAGCACTCTTGACTTTTGAGTCGACTCAAAAGTCAGCTCAGTGGTGCATGGGCCTGCTTGAATCGAGAATCACATGATAATAGAGGAAGAAGCACTCTTGACTTTTGAGTCGACTCAAGAGTCAGCTCAGTGGTGCATGGGCCTGCTTGAATCGAGAATCACATGACAATAGAGGAAGAAGCACTCTTGACTTTTGAGTCGACTCAAGAGTCAGCTCAGTGGTGCATGGGCCTGCTTGAATCGAGAATCGCATGATAATAGAGGAAGAAGCACTCTTGCAGCTGTCTGTTAAGTTGTAAGGCGACACAGAATGATCATACCTTGCATTTAATATATTAATTAAAAAAAAAAAACTCTTAAAGTTGCACTTTCTTCCCTTATTTCGGTTTGCAGACGTGGGGTACGTGGAGGCGAAACGAGTGAGGGACATTCTTGCTGCTGCTCGCCCCAGCGAGAGAACAATTTTCGGCGGCCTTGCTGGGCCTGCGGTGAGTAAGGGATGTGTTGTGCATGTGGGATACGTGGAAGCGAGGTGGGGTTGGAAGCGACGTGAGGTACGTGGAGGCAAAGTGAGTGAGGGACATTCTTGCTGCTGCTCGCCCCACCGAAAGAACAATTTTTGGCGGCCTTGCTGGGCCTGTGGTGAGTAAGGGATGAGTTGTGCATGTGGGGTATGTGGAAGCGAGGTGGGGTATGTGGAAGCGAGGTGGGGTATGTGGAAGCGAGGTGGGGTATGTGGAAGCGAGGTGGGGTATGTGGAAGCGAGGTGGGGTATGTGGAAGCGAGGTGGGGTACGTGGAGGCAAAGCGAGTGAGGGACATTCTTGCTGCGGCTCGCCCCACCAAATGAACAATCTTCGGCGGCCTTGCTGGGCCTGCGGTGAGTGCTCCGAAACACAAGTGTTAGGTGTGCTGAGGCTGTGTTCAGGACGTGTCAAGGATGTGCTGAGGATCGCTCCTTAACAATTCAGGGAGTGAACGTGAGACGTGTGAGTGACAGAAGGATGTGTCTGGGAATCTGGCCGTATGGTGCTGCAGTCATCTGAATCAATCAGGGTAAGTGGGATGCTGTGGTGTTCTACTTTCATCATGTATGCGCGCTTCAGGCGATTATAGGGCTGCGTTTCCATCTCTCATCCTTGTGGCCCCACTACCTCTCATTATCGCATACCTTGCTTGCATTGCATGCACCAGGGCGAATGAGATATAGTGGTTTGCACATACGAGCGTGCATCTGAGGCGATTAACGAATGGAATCCACATCTCCCATCCTCGTGGCCGCACTACCTCTCATCCCTTGTTTGCTTGCACCAGGGCGAGTGGGATGCAGTTGTGCGAACATACGAGCGTGACTCTGTCTTTCTCGGGGAAGCAGCTCAAATTCTTGTGCACAACACTAATTATGACATGTGAGAAGGGGGCCCCTTTGAAGGGAGAGGAGAGCAGAGGGTCATTTTGAGGGCGGAGGAACGGAGGGGGTTATTTAGGGGCGAGAGGAGAACAGGTTATACCTCACTCTCTACTTGCATGCTGTCTCCATCCCTTCATTCCTGCTCCCGTTCCCTTCCCCCTTTCTCTGGTTATCGCACATGCTTCCCTTGTTGACTGTCTCCTTTCTAACCCTCCATCCTCTCCTCTCCGCATTGACTCCTTCTTTCCCGTTCTCCCCTGTTTATTTCCCTTCGTCATGCAGTCCCTCATTGATTTTCCCCTTTCCCTACTGCCGCACCAATTTCCCCCCCGTTCTCTACTCCAACATTTTGTTCTATTCACTCCCCTCTCAACAGCCCCTACTGGCAGAAGCACAGGGCACGGGCGCAGCAGCAGCTGGAGGAGAGTAACCGGAAGGAGCTAGACTGATTCAAAGTGGCTGCTGCTGCTGCTCTTTAGTCGCCTTACAAGTCACCCCGTTGCCTCCCTCCTCCCCTCTCAACAGCCCCTACTGGCAGAAGCACAGGGTGCGAGCGCAGCAGCAGCTGGAGGAGAGCAACCGGAAGGAGCTAGACTGATTCAAAGTGGCTGCTGCTGCTGCTCTTTAGTCGCCTTACAAGTCACCCCGTTGCCTCCCTCCTCCCCTCTCAACAGCCCCTACTGGCAGAAGCACAGGGTGCGAGCGCAGCAGCAGCTGGAGGAGAGCAACCGGAAGGAGCTGGACTGCCGCAGACTGGCTGCTGCTGCTGCCAAGGGGTTTCAACAGGCATGCTCGGACCTGGGGATCAAGGTGAGGTGCATGGTAATGGACTCAAGGTTAGTTCTGATCTGAGTTAAGTCAAAGGTCTTCTCCCTGCTGTTGCCGAGCGGTTTCTAACGGGTGTGCTCTGACCTACAAATCAAGCCACTCCCCTCGTCCTCTGTTCTCTCATCTGCTTTTAACAGGGTCACGATGTACGGACAGAGCTCAAGGCACTCGTCTCCACGGCTCCTCACTCATAACTGTCGGATCCAACCCCGTCACCACTCCCCTCCCCCCCTCTCCTCTCTCCTCTCCGCTCCCACAACTGCTCCTCGCTCATCACTGTCCTATCCAACCCCGTCACCACTCGCTCCCTTCCTCTCTTCTCCCATCTGCTCCTAACAGGGTCACGATGTACACACAGAGCTCAAGGGACTTTATGGCTTTTGAGTCGACTCAAAAGTCACCCCCTACCACTCGCCCCCTTCCTCTCTTCTCCCATCTGCTCCTAACAGGGTCATGACGTACGCACAGAGCTCAAGGGGCTAGTGTCGCAACTTCCCACCATCTTCCAGTCAGTGGTGGGCGTTTTGTGCAACGAGTCTGTGGGCCAAGCAGTGGATAACTACCGAGCTGCCGTGGCCTTGTGTTGTCCCCATCAATGTTTCATCGACGCAACACCTCTCTCTCTCTCTCTCACACCCCTGCCCCCTTTCCGTTTCCCCGTGTGTGGTGGTAACCACGCTCTCTGCTTCTTTTGAGGCGCCCCAAAAGGCAACACCTCTCTCAAGCAGTCCTTCATTGATGGGTTTATAAGGATACACCTCTCTCTCTCTCTCTCTCTCTCTCTCTCTCTCTCTCTCTCTCTCTCTCTCTCTCTCTCTCTCTCTCACACCCCTGCCCCCTTTCCGTTTCCCCGTGTGTGGTGGTAACCACGCTCTCTGCTTCTTCTTGAAGGGTCAAGACGTGCGAAGGGAGTTAAAGGGCCTGGTGTCGCAACTTCCTACTATCTTTCTTCCAGTCAGTGGTGGGCGTTTTGTGCAATGAGTCTGTAGTGCAGGCAGTGGATTACTACCGTACCAAGTGAACCTTGCCTTCAACCCCCCTCTTCCCCTCCCACCCCCTCTTGAAGGGTCAAGACGTGCGGAAGGAGCTCAAGGGGTTGGTGTCGCAGCTCCCATCAGTCTTCCAGTCAGTGGTGGGCGTTTTGTGCAACGAGTCTGTGGGGCAGGCAGTGGACTACTACCGAGCTGCTATAGCCTTTGCCCATGGGGGAGGGGAGGATACAGGTTCGACTTCCCCCCTCCTCCTCCTCCCCACGCTCTTGGAGCTTCGGGCAAACCCTGAGCGGCAGGACCGGGCCGAACCTCCTGCGGAGGATGAGTGGGGTGGTGATGTCAGTGGGGGGGACGGTGGTGGTGGTGGGGGTGGTGGTGGTGATGGTGGGGGTGGTGATGCTGTAGGGGGGATTGTGTGGGATCTGGATGTGAGTACAGGGGGAGAGGGAGGAGGGGGAGGCGAAGGGGGAGGGGAAGGTGAGACTGGTGGTATAGTCTGGGACCTTGACATTTCTGCTGCTGAGGGTGCTGATGGTGCTGTTGATGCTGCTACTGCTGCTAACAGTACTGCTGAAGGTGAGACTGGTGGTATAGTCTGGGACCTTGATGTTTCTGCTGCTGCTGATAATGCCGCTGCTGCTGATGGTGCTGACGGTGCTGCTGGTGCTGTTGATGGTGCTGCTGGTACTGATGGTGCCGCTGCTTCTGCTGATGGTGCTGGTGGTACCACTGCTACTGCGGATGGTGCAGCAGTGGAGATAGATTGGAGTGCCCTGGGGGGAGGGGAGGGCGCATCTGGGGAAGGCATTGACTGGGGCATCGAGATCTCTGCTGAGACAGGTGCCGCTGGTGGTGAGGAGGAGGGAGGAGGAGGAGGGATTGACTGGGATATTGACACAGGAGCTGCAGGGACCAATGAGGAGGCGCCATCTGGAAGTGCTGGTGATGGTGATAGTGCTGGTGGTGGTGGGGGAGGAGGAGGGAGGAGTGGGAGGGAGGGGGAGAGTGAGCGGCACAAGGTGCAGCGGTGGCTGTTGGCGGATTCAGCGTATCGCAGCAAGCTACTAGACGATTTGTTTGAGGTGAGATAGCTTGTCATCTGTTCAGCTTGAGTCGACTCAAAAGCCACCTTGAGAGGCATAAGGTGCAGCGGTGGCTGCTGGCTGGCGGATTCAGCATATCGGAGAAAGATGCTGGACGACTTGTTTGAGGTGAGATGGGTGGGTGGTTGCATGGAAGCTTTACATCTCACCCATCCATCCACCCACCCACCCACCCACCATGTGCAGTGAGTTTATTTTTGAGGCGCCTCAAAAATCAACTCACTTTGCATCTCACCCATCCATCCATCCCTCCACCCACCCACCCATCTCGCCTCAAACAAATCGTCAAGCAGCATAACTCGTGTTGAGACATGCAGCACTCGTCCTATCCTCCAGGTGTCCAGTCAAAGGGAGGCGGAGAGCGAGAGGCGTAAGGTGCAGCAGTGGATGGAGCAGTTGCACCGATACCAGAACTCCCACCATATACCCCTCCCTATCGTCCCTTTTGAGGCGCCTCGAAAACAATTCTTGAGGTGCCTCAAAAACAGTCAAAGAGAGGGGGGGAGCGAGAGGTGTAAGGTGCGGCGGCGGATGGAGCAGTTGCACCGATACCAGAGCTGCCACCATATGCCCTTCCCTATCGTCCCTGTCCCTCTCAAATGTTGCCTTCTCGGGTTCCCCTCTCTTACCCTCTCTTTCCTTTTCGCTTCGCTTCTCTCCCGCCCCCCTCAGTTGCACATATTCCTCGTCACGCGGATAGCTGAGATGAACTGACACCACGGCTGACTGCATTGCATATGCCCTTTCCTCTCGTCCCCTCGCCTTCCCCTTCCCTTCCCTTATCTCCCGCTCCTCTCAGCTACACATATTCCTCGTCACGCGGATAGCTGAGATGAACCGGCATCAGGGCTCTGTGTTGCAGGCACAATTGATGGTGAGTGCTGCACGGCACGGCAGCAAGAGTCTCCACTCGTAGCCAGAGAGCTGCAAATCCGATGTTTGGTTTGGAAAACCCTTACAAACAACTAAGAGAAACGAACTTAAAAAAACTGGAAAGAGCCTTCACTCATCATAGCCCAAGAGCGTTTTTGAGACGTCTCAAATCAAAAGCATTCTTATATCACAAGAGAGAGAGCCTTCACTCATAGCCCAGAAGCTGCGTATGTTTTAGAATTCTCAAATCAAACATACGTTGAGACGTCTCAAAACCACTCCTATAACACGAGAGAGAGAGCCTTCACTCATCGTAGCCCAAGAGCTGCAAATGAAGCAGCTGAGAGAAACGAAACTTAGAATCTCTCCTGAAATCTCACCACGCCTATTTGATGGGGAAACATCACAGCCCCCCCAATCATCCAGAACCACCTATGCCCCCACGTACGCCCCCACATATGCCCCCACCTATGCACCTCTTCCCGTGTCTCCTTTGACTCCCACCTGTGCTTCCTTGCTGAACTTGCCAAGTTTTGAAACGTCTCAAAATCAATCAGAACCACGTATGCCCCCACGTACGCCCCCACGTACGCCCCCACGTACGCCCCCACCTATGCCCCCACGTATGCACCTCTTCCCGTGTGTCCTTCCACTCCCACGTGTGCTTCCCTGCTGAACGTTCCAAGGGCCGTTGCTTCCCTTCCCCTCATCACGTCTTCGTCTCACCACTCCACCTCCCTCCTATCCTCCAGGCCACGGCGCCTCCCATCATCCAGAACCACGGCACCACATCCCTCACTGGCTCGAACTCTCATGTTTTCTTAGAATTCTCAAAAAACATTCGGAGAATTCTCGACACACATCTGAAGAATTCTAAAAAAGCGTACGGAGAATTCTCAAAACACATATGGAGAATTCTGAAGAAAAAACATTCGCATCATCCATAACCACGGCACCGCATCCCTCACTGGCTCGACTCTCATATCTGCACAGCCATTGCTTCGATTTCCCTCGCTTCTCCCATCCACCGCTCTCTCTCCCATCCCCAACCCCAGGCCACAGCGCCTCCCATCATCCAGAACCACGGCACCGCATCCCTCGCATCCCTCGCATCCCTCGACTCCCACATCTGCACAACCATCCCCCTCATTCATCCCCCCTGCTTCCTTTCCTCCGTCTCCCCCACCCGCATCCCCCAGGCTACAGCGCCTCCCATCATCCAAAACCACGGCACCGCGTCTCTTGCATCCCTTGACTCCCACATCTGCACGGCCATCACTTCCCTTCCACTGACTCCCCATTCCCCTTACACCCAGCCTTCCCCTCCGCTCTCCCATCCCCAACCCCAGGCCACAGCGCCTCCCATTATCCAGAACCACGGCACCGCATCTCTTGCCTCCCTTGACTCCCACGTCTGCACTGCCATTCCCCTCATTCATCCCCCCTGCTTCCTTTCCTCCTGCTCCCCTGCATCCCCCAGGCCACAGCGCCTCCCATTATCCAGAACCACGGCACTGCTTCACTTGCCTCCCTTGATTCGCACATCTGCACAGAAATCGGTCGACTCACCAGCCGTCGCACTCGGGACCTGCTCCTCATCCTCTCCTCCCCACGGTACGTTTTTTCCACCCTTCCTCTACGCCCCTGCTCTCCCTCGACAACCCCTTCCCTCCTACGTGTGTTCGGCCACGTGATAAAAAAGTTGTTTTGAGACGTCTCAAAACCACCCTTCCTTGAGACATCTCAAAACCACCCTTCCTCTACACCCCTGCTCTCCCTCCACAACCCCTTCCCTCCTACAAGTGTTCGGCCATTTGTTGACTCACCAGCCACCAAAACCGCCTGTTTTTCTGCTTCCGCTTCTCCTCTTTTGTCCGTCTCCTTTTCTCCTTTGGCCTTCCAGCTTCTTGGATCGGCTGGAGCAATCATTGCTGCAGAAGAAGACAAACGAGGCGAGGCTGCTGGATAGCATTGGCGAGCTGGAGAGGCGGCGGAGAGAAATCCGGGCGGCTCTGGCTGACGCTTGGCCTAAACTGGTGAGTTGCATGGCTTGGCATGATGTGGCATCGTATTGCATGGTGTGGCATGAAATAGCGTGGTGTTGCATGGTATAGCATGGTCTGGCATGGTATAGCATTGTGTGGCATGGCGTGGCATGGTGTGGCAAGGTAAGGTATGGCATGGTGTGGCGTGGTATAGCATGGTGTGGCATGGTATGGCATGGTGTGGCATGGTGTGTCATGGTATGGCAGTGGATGCGGTGGTGTAGGGGACTCAAGCATACAAGCACTCAGGTTCTATCCGCTCTCAAGTGATCATCCATTCACACTCAATCCCTCTCCTTCTCTCCCTCTACCTCCCAGCAGGTGGGTTCCCAGGTACGAATATACATCCACTCACTCATGCCCCTCATTATCTCCCTTCACCCCTCCCAGGAAGGTTTGTGCAAAGAACACGAGCCTACAAGGCAGCTGGTGGTTTCTCTGAAAACATACATCCACACACTTACCCGCTCTCCTTCCCTCCCTTCACCTCTCCCAGGAAACGGTGGTGCAAAGAACACGAGCCTACAAGGCAGCAGCAGAGGCAGCGCTCTCTGCAATGTATTCCAACCGCCCCGTTCACATCATTGGGGAGATTAACAACGTGCTGCAGGCAACCGCCCCTGCTGGGGGTGGGTAGAGAGAGGGCAAACCGTTGATGTTGGACTTGATGCTCTGTGCCAACAATGTTCTATCAAATGCTTGAAGCAGAGGTGGCGTGGCTCCGTCAGCAATGTACTCTAACCGCCCGGTTCACATCATTGGGGAGATGATCAGCAACGTGCTGCAGGCAACCGCCCCTGCTGGGGGTGGGTAGAGGGCAAACCGTTGATGTTGGACTTGATGCTCTGTGCCAACAATGTTCTATCAAATGCTTGAAGCAGAGGTGGCGTGGCTCCGTCAGCAATGTACTCTAACCGCCCAGTTCACATCATTGGGGAGATGATCAACAACGTGCTGCAGGCAACCGCCCCTGCTGGTGATGGGTAGGGGGCGGTGCTCTCTGGAAATGTTCTCTAACCGCCCAGTTCACATCATTGGGGAGATCATCAACGTGCTGCAAGCAACCGCCCCTGCCGGTGATGGGTGGGTAGTGATAGGGCGAACCTTATGCGTTTGACTTGACGCTCTGTGCATGCGCATTATACTCCAAGCGCCTCATACAGTACCAAAGCAGGGGTGGCAGTGGCACTCTCTGCATTGTATTGTTTTCCTTCCAACCGCCGTTCACATCATTGGGGAGATTAATCCAAATACGTGCTGCAGGGAACTGCCCCTGCTGGTGGTGGGTAGGGGACGGTTGCTGTTTAGCTTTACGTTCTCTGTCAACAATGTTCTACGGTAACAAAAGGCTCGAAGCAGAAGTGGCACTCTCTGCAATGTATTCCTTCCAACCGACCGGTTCACATCACTGGGGAGATGATAAACATCGTGCTGCTGCTAGTTACTGCCCCTGATGGGGGTGGGTAAAGAGAGTATGGCTGATGACGTGCATTTATTTCTGACATTCCACCCGATACTGTGACGATGTTGCACTTCCACTAGCTGTTAGACTCCGTACATGCAAGGCAGACAAGTTATGCTATAAGGTGACTGTTGAGTCGACTCAAAAGTCAGCTGTCAGACTCCGTACATGCAAGGCAGACAAGTTCCTTTGTGAGGAAAAGTGGCAATGGGAAGGCAGAGGCACAGCATTGCTGGTGGTGTGGAGAACTGCCTATGCAAGGTAGCATCGGGAAGGCTCACATCAAAAGCATACCATACACAAAAGTTACAAAGACCATACAATACAATGTGTGCTTACAAGTGTACTGCTGCGTAGTGGCATCTATGCAGCGGAGAGTGGTCAAACACCACGGAGCAATTCGAGTAAATCCCAGCGAACTTCGCAAATGTGCTGAGAGTGTGCGTACCCCCTACAAGCACTGCCCCTCGACTCAACAAGTAGAAATCCGCTACAGTAGCCAACTTTGAACCTGTATCCTTAGAAGTTGATAAATGAGCAGTTTGGCCCATCGAAACTGAAACATTTCCGAATGGTTGCAGCAGCTTCACAAAATGTGGGCGTAGATATTCATTATCCGTGGATAAGAAGATGTTGAGAGGAGAGAGTTGGGGAATGCGGGACATGGAGGTTGGTCTTGGGGGACGACCAGGGACTGGCACCAGACCTGCAAGCAACAAGTGGAAGAAAAAATGTTCACGAAGGCTGAGTTGAGAATAATATGAAAAAACGAGGGGAGAAAGTGAAGGACATGATGAGTGAAAGGTTTGGATGATGGGAAGCTTCCAGCACGTGAAAGGTGTAAGAAATGAGGGGCCAGTGATTCTACAGGTGTTTTTTAAGAATTCTCAAGGTGCTTACGAGAATTCTCAAAAACACCCTGCAAATTGAGGCGTGGGTGATAAGAAGCGTTCAGTATGCAGAAAGAAGTGAGAGCTCAGTGGCGCTGATCCTCAAGACTACCTCACGCGGGCGTCAGGAATGCGATTTCTACTCATGAGTGTTCTGTTTGAGGCATATACCAGACATACACTCGTGCCACACTGGCTCTTACAGTACATATCTTCATCATAATCCTTCTCTTCATCACCACAAGTGCTCTTATACTTACCATGTGCCATGGCTAGCGAGTCCTCTAGACTCCAGCTCTCCTCTGCTGCTGTTCTGTTGCTCCTCATCACCTGCGAAGGGGGAGGTGCATCAGTGGAGCAACGGTTCATGTATGTTCATGATCCTATTTACAAACACCCGAGAAACAGGTTGCAAGGAGAGAATTGCAGCGGAAAAGCTCTTTTGGTCACTGGGGAGGCCGAGTGAGCCAGTGTAAGGCACCTCATAACGCAGCAGCAAAGGGCGTCTTGTTGCATGTGTGGATTCAGGTTGCAAGGTGTGAGGGGTGAAAGGAGTGATAGCACACCTAAAGCTCTTTAGGTCACCTGGGATGACAAGTGGCAAAAGGAGTGATAGCGCATCTAGGTTCACAAGCGAATGTGTGGGATGGGTATGTTCAGGTGAGGCACTCATGATCAGGTGTGGGACGCACGTGTTCAGGTGGGACAGGCATGTTCAGGTGGGACAGGCATGTTCAGGTGGGACAGGCATGTTCAAGTGGGACAGGCCTGTTCAGGTGGGACAGGCATGTTCAGGTGGGACAGGCATGTTCAGGTGGGACAGGCATGTTCAGATGGGACAGGCATGTTCAGGTGGGACAGGCATGTTCAGGTGGGACAGGCATGTTCAGGTGGGACAGGCATGTTCAGGTGGGACACTTATGTTCAGGTGGCACAGACATGTCCCCTTTGTCTCACATGCGAAATCCCTGTCTCTTGTGCACTCTCGTCTGACTAACCTCCGCTCCTCTCCTCTCCTCTCCCCTCCTCTCCCTCCTCTCCTCTCCTATCCTCTCCTCTCCTCTCCTCTCATCTCCTCTCACCTGCTTCGCCACTCGTGTGGCAAGTGACAGTGAAGCCTCAGTCTTTGCCACCCACTCCCGTTTCCCTGCCACTACAGTGTTCCACTCCTCTCATCTCCTCTCACCTGCTTCGCCACTCGTGTGGCAAGTGACAGTGAAGCCTCAGTCTTTGCCACCCACTCCCATTTCCCTGCCATTACAGCGTTCTACTCCTCTCATCTCCTCTCTGCCACTTCTCTCCTCCTCTCCCCTCATCTCCTCTCCTCTCACCTGTTTCGCCACCCGTGTGCCAAGTGACAGTGAAGCCTCAGCCTTTGCCACCCACTCCTCACTAGCTGCCAATAATGCCCACCGCCTGTCCACCTGCTTTGCCGCCCGCTCAACTGCCGCACCCATGTCTGCCGCCCGCATGTCTGCCGCCCATTTGCGAAAGCGGAACAGCTGGAGCAGCGAGGAGAGGCAGAGCCAATGGGACGCCTGCAGGAAAAGGGATGCCACGTCATGTGCCACGTGGCTGCGCTGTAGCAGGCAGGCAGCATCAGAATCTCCACAATGGGATAACCCGAAGCTCCTGTAAGCAGTTAGAAGAAGCGAGTTTTGGGGAAGGGGAGTTGGGGAATGTGGTGCATCGAAATGTGCCACGTGGCTGCGCTGCAGCAGGCAGGAAGCATCGGAATATCTGCAATGGGGCACCTCGAAGCTCCTGCACACAGTCAGGAGAAGGTGGTGGGAGGAAGGTAGCCAGGGGAAGGGGGTGGGGGAAACGTGGTGGGGGAAGGTAGCCAGGAGAAGGGGGTGGGAGAAATGTGGTGGGGGAAGGTAGCCAGGGGAAGGGGGTGGGGGAAATGTGGTGGGGGAAGGTTGTGGTGGGGCAATGCAAATCTCCTCCAAGAAGTTTGAGGAAGGTGCTCGGGGGAGGGGAGCAGGGGGAAGGGACTCCGGGGAAAGGTGGTTGGGGGAAGATGGTGGGGGGACGGTAGGAAGGAGAAGGGGAACGAGCTGGGCGGGGGAATGGGGAGTTGAGGGAGGAAGGAGGGTGGAGGGAAAGGAGGGTGTTGGGGGAAGAATCGTGCGACAGACTCACCAGTCCCCTGTTCGGATGTGCAGCGACACATCGAACTGCAGGCGAAGCCCTGTTCCTTTCGCCAACGGGTTACCACCAGAGCCTCCTTCGCGCCCCTCCCCGCCTTCCTCTGCTCTTAAAGTTCCTCCGCTCAACCTTCGCGCAACCTGAACTCCCCCACTTCCCGCATCCCCCAAATCCTCCGCTTCCCGGCCTTCCCCCTCGTCCCCCGCAGCCTCCCCCGCTCGAACTCTGCTGCGCAAATTTCCGCTTCCCCGCACCCCGTTTTCCCGGCGCCGCAGCCTCTCTTCTCTCAAAACGGCCAAACCATTTCCCGGACCACCTTCTGCTTCGTTAAAAACTTTTCCATTAAAAGCCGAAGCAGTCTTCACATGCGGAAAGATTTTCACATCTTTTTCAATCTCGTAACCTAACGCTTCTGTCGGTCCGCCTCCTAATAAAATCTCCATCGTTCTAGACCAAACGCACCAGTCCGAAGCACAACCCAACGCACCCATCACACACCGCGTTAACTCCTTATCCTCCTTCCAATACCTATCAAACCCGCTCGACATCGTGACTATAACGAGTGGGCGTGGATCCGCGAGCGATCTCCGCATCTGCTCGCCGTTCGATACCAGCCGATCCAACGGCTCCGCGTAACTCGGCAGATTATTATTCGGAAACCTAATCTCGTCGAAACCGCACACGAACCCCGCGCAGAGGCTGTTCATCGCGTCGCCGTACTGCCCGCCGTGCCAGCGCAAAAAGCGGCGACCCGAGAGGAGCGCGTAGACGAAGGAGGAGGAGAGCGCGCGTAGCATGTTACCTAGCCCGGCTCGAGGCACCCAGATCAACCAGCGATCCGCGGAATCGGTGCGACCGTTGCGACCGGCGGAATTCTTGGTGGAATCGGTGCGATCGGCGGGCTCGGCGGAATTGGCGGGATTGCTGCGACTGGTGCGATCGGTGAAATCGGTGCGATTTGTGAGATGATTAAGGGGATAATTGGTCAGATACGAGGTGGAATACGAGCGGTAGGAGGAGGGAAGGGAGGAGGACAGGTAGGGGGCAGGGGGTGCACGACGTTGCTGTTCCCCGTCCGAGCGGCTCTCTTGTTGCTGTTCCCCATCCGAGCTATTCTCTCCTACTTGATTCGAGCTTTTCTCTCGTTCCCGATCCGAATAATCCTCTCGCTGCTGGTCCTGCAGCCATCGCCGGTGCACGCGGAGCAGCTCGTCGGAAAGAACGGGCCGGCCGCGCGAAACCCGCGAGGTGTAGGCTTCAGGCGGAAGGAGCGCGTGGCAAGAAGGGGTGTCCTGCGGAAGGTGGTTGGAGAAGGGGGAAAGGAATATGGGGAAGGGGGAAGGGAAGAGAAATGGTGAGGGAAGCGGAAGAATGAGGGCGTGAGGGGGAAGAGTGGCATGGGACCATCGTTGATCCCTGAGTCGATTTAACAAACGATCACTCTTGTTGGCAGGCAGCGTGACCTTTTTGAGCAAGCCTGGCAAGCTAATATCGAAGTTGACCCTGACGCATACAGATTCTGGATCTTTGGCGCGAAGGCTGCTAGCGCGAGTTCCACACCTTAAGACTGAAGTTATGGTGCTTGACGTTCGCGCTTCGCCACGTGGACTTGACTAGGCTGTCGGGCCACGTCACCCGGTAGTTCTGATTGGTCCGCCCGCCCACCAGGAACTCCCAATTGGCGCGGTCCTCGACGAAGCGCATCGACACGCCCTTGACGTAGATGCGCGAAATCCAGTCGCGGTTTATAGCCGCCAGATGACGACGGCGATGCGGGGAAATGGGGGGGAAGCTTCTCGAGTGGAACGCGGCGAATTCTGCCGCATGAGTTTGAACGAAAATTGTTACAACCAGTAATAGAGTACAAAAATGATAAGAGCGTCTTGAAGGCCCTGTTACAACGTGACGACAAAGCGGTAAGGACGGTAGCAAGACTTGACATCTAGGTGTCCAACGTGAGTTAGTAGGTGCTGTGCGAGCTGCATTGCGGGAACAAATAACACTATTTTTCTCTGCGACGGAGCTGCTTGTAGTGGAGACACCCATAGTGCCAGTGTTGATCACGGTTTCCATTGGAAGGAAAATGAAACCGACCCAAAATGGTCTTCGTCGTGGCACGTGTTAGCTCCTAACCTTTCCTCCCGCGCCGCCGCCTCCGATAAGCCTTAGGGTCTTATTCGGATTCAAAACACCATTCGTGGTTCTTGCTGTGAGAGGCCGAGGAGAGTCACAAGTAAGAAGGTCGTTTGTTCGGTTCTGCTGTCCCTTCCTCTTCCTCTGGGGCGCTTCAGCTGGGCGCGGTGATATTTTCTTGGCTGTGTGCAGGCAGGGAGTGGAAGAGAGGATTTCGTGGGAGGGTGTTTTGAGGTGGTCACGGTGTTTTATGAAAGTGGACGCTTTCACGGTTGAGTAAGATAATAGACGCTCGAAATCGTTATTGAGCGGTTGGCCAGGGTTTTGAGCGAAAGTGAATATGTGTGGCACCGACCGAATTTGAATTAATCGAAGCGCGGTGGGGTACTGTGCCAGTGCGCTGTGCTGCTGTTCTGTCGGCCTCTTCCTCTTGTGATGGAAGGGATTGCGCGGGAAAATAATTCGAGGGCGGGTCCAGCGCGTTTGTCCCTCGTTCGTTCTGTGCGGTTACTCGTGTTGCGTCACGGTGGAAAATGGTTAAGCTTCATAGCCGCTACGGTCTGGTCTGGAATTGTCTTGCGCCACGACGAATGAACTGTAACGAGCACGCTGGACTCGCCCTGAAGCGTCGCCAGGAGTCAGGGTGGTACAGGCTGACGAGATTTGCGATGGATGGGAGTTCAATCGCAAAGGTTCGCCACTCTCAGATCATCGTCTGCCACAAGCAATCTTTTCCGCTTTTCTCAAAAATATTTCAAAAGTTAACATAGATGCACTACGGAAGTGTACTCTAAATCATATACGTTCTGAGGCGACAGCACAATCTGCTTTCCAACCTTCAACGTATCGATGACCAGCTAGGCCACGTTAGGTTCGTTGTCGTAGTTATTCGCCAGACTTAGCTGATCAAGCTGCGTGCAATCCGAGGCGTCAGCCAGCATGGGTGCCGCCTTATCGTCGATGCTGGCGGCTCCCGAGTCGTTTCTGACCTTCGCAGTCGTCGCAGCCGTCGCGTGGGTTGTCGTCAAGATTCTCCTGCAGCCTAAAGTCCCGCGAATTTTCGTCGACACTTCGTACAGTAAGCGATCATCCCGTTCTCGAGTCTTGCGCTAGCTAAACCTTTATAGCCCTTAAAGCGCTTTACATTGTCATCGTTTGTAGACATAAGGGAGTTGTTTTCCATCAGAGTCGTACTTCTCCGTGTTAGATCCCTATTGCTACCTCAACTTCCTGCGTTCTTTCTTCTCCACTCCGTTTCTTCACCCACCTCTTCGTCACAGCCATTGCGAGCACCAAAATTAGAGACACCATTCCCCATTTCTTGACAAGTTTGGGAAAGGACTAACGTGATTTGGTTTGAAACCCTCGCATGTGTTTGTCCTGGCAATCGAGCCTGTGCAGTTACGGAGAAGCAGGAGGAGAGCAAAACCAATCGATACATTTATGTAAGCCGTTGCTTTGCCAGCTTCGTTTGCTCAACTGCACATTTCACTCCTCACTTTCTTCACTCTTACAAGAAGAGCACACTCGCGTCGCCTTCACATTCACAGGGAAAAGCTCTATTATTGGTTGCCGATTTTTACCGTTTCGTCTTTCCTTCAACTCTGCTGTCCTTTCTCTCCGCACCCCCCCACTCAGTTCCCCCGGGGAGAGGGGTCAGCAGGCAACAGAGTGCAGTGCTACGACCCTGCCACGCTGCAGTACCTGGGCTTCTCGCCTGCTCTGAAAGCATCAGATGTGAGTGGGTGAGAAGGGAGGTCTTGATGATTCAGGTACGTGATAGGGTGCAGTGCTACGACCCTGCCACACTGCAGTACCTGGGCTTCTCGCCTGCTCTCAAGGCATCTGACGTGAGTGGTTGATTGGGTGGGTGGGTGGGTGGTAAAGCGCCTGGGTTCACTGTGGGAGTGGGAGTGTGGGTGGGGGGTTGGACGACAGGGTGCAGTGCTACGACCCTGCCACCCTGCAGTACCTGGGCTTCTCGCCTGCTCTGAAAGCATCAGATGTGAGTGGGTGAGAAGGGAGGTCTTGATGATTCAGGTACGTGATAGGGTGCAGTGCTACGACCCTGCCACGCTGCAGTACCTGGGCTTCTCGCCTGCTCTCAAGGCATCTGACGTGAGTGGTTGATTGGGTGGGTGGGTGGGTGGTAAAGCGCCTGGGTTCACTGTGGGAGTGGGAGTGTGGGTGGGGGGTTGGACGACAGGGTGCAGTGCTACGACCCTGCCACCCTGCAGTACCTGGGCTTCTCGCCCGCTCTGAAGGCATCTGACGTGAGTGGGTGGGATGGGAGGGTAGTAAAGCGCTCGGATAGGAGTGGGTAGGAGTGGGTGGGAGTGGGTGGGAGTGGGTGGGAGTGGGTGGGAGTGGGTGGGAGTGGGTGGGAGTGGGTGGGAGTGGGTGGGAGTGGGTTGGAGTCTGGTTGGGTGGTTGCGGGCGACAGAGTGCAGTGTTACGACCCTGCCACTGTGCAGTACCTGGGCTTCTGCTGTATTTCACTCAATGCATCTGTATTTCCCCCATCATCCCATCATTCCATATTTTCAGGTGAAGGAGCATGTGGACAGGGCACGCCAGGTGCAGCAGCAGTGGAAGCACAGCAGCTTCGAGCAGAGGCCCACTCATGCTCTATTTCAATGCAACTCTCAAAACCCCTTCGACCCATTCCAGGTGAAGGAGCATGTGGAGAGGGCACGGCAGGCACAGCAGCAGTGGCAGCACAGAAGCTTCGAGCAGAGGAGGCAGTTCCTGAGGGTGCTGATGCGATACGTGGTGGAGAATCAGGACCTCATCTGCAGGTATGGAGTTGCCGTGCTGTTGATGCTTTACGTAATGCGGTTACCAGCAGCAGCAGCAGCTGCAGCAGCAGCAGTAGCTTTGAGTGGAGGAGGCAGTTCCTGAGGGTGCTGATGCGTTATGTGTGGGACCTTATTGTGTGACTTATTGTGGATGCTCGATCTACTGCCGTCCATCTCCCACTCCCGATCTCATTGCTTCTCTCTCATGTTTTTCTGCGTGTCTTTCACTCCCCACCTCCCACTGCGCTGCAGAGTGTCGGCGCGAGAGTCGGGCAAGGTGTTGGTGGATGCTGGGTTTGGGGAGATTCTGACGACGTGTGAGAAGATAGCGTGGCTGTTAAAGGAAGGGGAGAGATGGCTCAAGCCCGAGTACAGGTCAGTCAATGCCAGTCAATGCCAGTCAATGCAGTCAATGCAGTCAATGCAGAAGTCAATGCAGTCAATGAGAGATCCTGACGACGAGTGAGAAGATAGCGTGGCTGCTGAGTGAAGGGGAGAGGTGGCTCAAACCCGATTACAGGTCAGTCCACGTGACATGAATCAATGTGAGTCAATGCAGTCAATGTGATTGAATGTGAGTGGGGCAAGATACTGGTGAATGCTGGCTTTGTCCCTTCTCCCCTCGCTTTCTCGCCCTGTTTCTGTGTGACTTTTTGTTTCCCTGTTCTTCATTTTGTCTTTTGCCGTCACGTCAACTTTCATTTTCCGTTTTCCACTCCTCTCCGGTGCATGTATCAGGTCCGTGGGTCGAACCATGATGCACAAACTCGCTAGGGTGGAAGTTGAACGAACTGGCAGGGGTGGTCGGAGCCATAGTGCCGTGGAACTACCCCTTATCCTACCTCCCTCCTTCCTCTACTTCCCTCTATCCTTCCCTCCTCTTGCATTTATCATATCAGGTCTGTGGGTCGAACCATGCTGCACAAGCTGCCAGAGTGGAGTTTGAGCCAGCAGGGGTGGTCGGAGCCATAGTGCCATGGAGCTACCCCCGATCCTCCCTCCCCCCTTCCCCTACTTCCCTGTATTCCTCGCCTCAACCTCCTCTTGTCAGGTCTGTGGGTCGGACCATGCTACACAAGGTGGCCAGGGTTGAGTTTGAGCCGGCAGGGGTGATCGGAGCCATAGAGCCGTGGAACTATCCCTTTATCCTTTTGCCAACCCCCCCTATTGTCCTCTCTCTTTTCTGCCTCTCGCCTGTCTCAGGTCTGTGGGTCGAACCATGATGCACAAGGTGGCCAGAGTGGAGTTTGAGCCAGCAGGGGTGGTCGGAGCCATAGTGCCGTGGAACTACCTCTTATCCTCCCTCTCGCCTTACCCTTCTCTCCCTCCAACGCCCCTGAACCCCCCGTCCTCCCCTGTTCAGGTCTGTGGGTCGAACCATGCTGCACAAGGTCGCTAGGGTTGAGTTTGAGCCGGCAGGGGTGATCGGAGCCATAGTGCCGTGGAACTACCCCTTCCACAACGTGCTCAACCCCGTGCTGTCTGCTGTATTCGCTGGGAACGCTGCTGTCATCAAGGTCAGTTGTTCAGTGTTTGCTGGGACAGGAAGAGGAAGAGAGTTGAGAGAGAGGGGTGAATTGTTGGAGCCATAGTGCCGTGGAACTACATCTTTCACAACGTGCTCAACCCCGTGCTGTCTGCCATGTTTGCCGGCAATGCTGCTGTGATCAAGGTGATAGAGAGAGAGAGACAGGCAGAGAGACAAGACTGACAGGGACACAGGCGGAGAGACAGAGGGACAGAGGGACAGGGGTGAATTTTTGGAGCCATAGTGCCGTGGAACTACCCCTTTCACAACGTGCTCAACCCCGTGCTGTCTGCTGTGTTCGCTGGCAATGCTGCTGTCATCAAGGTGAGAGAAAAGAGAGAGAGACCGAGACAGACAGGGACAGAGGGACAGAGAGACAGAGGGAGAAAAAGGGCCTCAAGGTGCAGGGGTGATCGGAGCCATAGTGCCGTGGAACTATTCCTTTCACAATATGCTCAACCCCGTGCTGTCTGCTGTATTCGCTGGGAACGCGAGTCGGCATTAAGGTGAGAGAAAGAGAGAGGGACCGAAGGGCGCAGAGTGACAGAGTGACAGGGGGACAGGGGAGATCCAGGGATCAAGGTGAGAGGGGGCGCAGAGTGGCAGAGAGGGGAAGGGGGAGAGGTGGTGAGAGCACGCGATCTATCTGGGCATCATCTGCACGGTGCACAAAGTGAAACAAGTCGAGTTTTGTTTGAGACGTATCAATAAATTTAAATCTCACCTTTCATGACGATCTGGGGCGCACATTACTATCTGGGCATCACCCGCACGGCCGTCGAGGCTGTTGAGAAGAGCTATAGGGTGGGGGTAACCCTTTATCTTGCCGCACTTTATCTGCGAATGATATCCAGTAGTGCGTGCGAATGATATCCAGGTAACCCCTTTACTTGCAGGTATGCGAGCTGGGGCGCGCACTACTACCTGGACTGGATATCATCCGCACGGCCCTCAAGGCTGTTGGGGGGAGCTTGAGAGGCTGGGGGAAACTTCAGGGAAGATCACTCTTGGTTACTTGGTGTACCTTCCCTTTCTTCGCAGGTATCAGAGCATGCGAGCTGGGGCGCGCACTACTATCTGGATATTATTCGCTCGGCGCTCAAGGCTGTTGGACCTTTGTGGTGTACCTGTCTCTCCTCCTCCCCTGCTCCTCACAGGTATCAGAGCATGCGAGCTGGGGCGCACACTACTACCTGGATATCATTCGCACGGCTCTCAAAGCTGTTGGGGGCCCGCCTGAGCTCGTGCATGTGATTACCGGGTGAGTCGAACGAATTATTCAAGTTCTGAGATGTGTCTCTGTGTATTGAAATGTACTGGGAGATCTCAAAACTTGGATGTCATTGTGACACACCCATCTCCAAGTTTTGTGTTTGTGTGTGTATGCTAGGGATGAGCAAGGGACGGGACGGCCACGGGACTCTCTATGTGACTCTGCGCATCTGCATGTGTGTCTCTCTGTGCTGTCAGGTTTGGCCCCACGGGGTCAGCTCCGGTGCAGTCGGGGGTGAATCTGCTCGCCCACTTGCTCCGCTCCTCAGGCCTGCTCTGTGCCAACACCTGTGCTCACGCCTGGCGTCAAAACAACACACTGTCTGTCTCTCCATGCACTATTTCTGCCCCAATCCGCTCTGTGATGGCAGGTTTGGCCCCACAGGGTCAGCTCTGGTGCAGTCTGGTGTGGATCGGCTCATCTTTGTTGGGTCCACTGCTGTGGGCAGGAAGGTGAGAGGGAGGTAGGAAAGGTGAGAGAAAGTTGGTCAGAGGAAGCAAAGAAACACTTGGTCAACGATGGTGTTGGTTTGGCCCCACGGGGTCAGCTCTGGTGCAGTCAGGGGTGGATCGGCTCATCTTTGTAGGTTCCACTGCTGTGGGCAGGAAGGTGAGAGGGAGATCGCAAAGGTGAGTGCAAGGATGCTGGTGCTGTGCTGGTCATCCTCTTGCCTTGATGTATGCTGCAAGTTGGGTTTGAGACGGTGGGGGTCTCACACACACACCTTTGTGGGGTCCACTGCTGTGGGCAGGAAGGTGGGTGAGATACAGAGAATGGTGAGCGGGAGGGGACAATAGCCCTTATGCCCACACCTGTCCGATCAGCATGGTATGCAGGTCCACATTTCACCGCGCTCTTCCCCCATTTCCCGCGACAACAGAGCACATTAAGATCCGCGCCGCCTGGTTCTACCCCCTCGATTTCCGCCATTCTCATCCTCGTCCTCCTAGCCTAATCCAGCTTCAAGCTCGAACCACCGTGCCCTTCTCGTAGTCTTGAGGCTGGATGGGGCCCTTTCTCAAAGGTCCCAGTTAGTAAGTTGAATGATAGGTAGCTTGCCCTTGACTCAAGCGTGCACTGACTCATACGTTCTCTCTCATAGCGCCGGCAAAACCGTACGCGGTGAGTCATTTTATCAACAAATATGTTATTACTTGTTTTCTGATTCTCCGATGTGCTTCCTCACATATTGGTAATATTACCTTTTCTGACCAATATTACCTTTCCAAAAAAATCTTTCCACGGTCTTCGCAACCCAACTCTCTACCTTTGAAAAGTCCCCAAGCCAATCACAATACCTCGTATCCGAGAAGCTTCACGAGAACGGGAGGGCCGTTGCCTTCCTGCTGCTCGTCCGACAGTTGTGAGACAATTTGTGCTAGCCAGCTGTCCAGATATTCACCAAGTTCCACCCACACAACGTCCCCCAAGCTGAAATTCATGCCGCCAGAGTTCTGCTAGGAAGGGCATTCACGGAGCATGAATAGCAAATAGAGGAAGAAGGGTGAGAAGCGCATCCACGGAGCACGCACAAAGCGCATCCACGGAGCACGCACGAAGCGCATCCACGGAGCACGCACGAAACGCATCCACAGGGGATCTAGTCATGACAAATATGGGAGGAAGGGTGACAGACGGGTGCTGGAAATAAAAACATAAATTTGAAAGAATCAAAACGATGGTGAGGAAAAAGTGTTCAGGAAACATTAAAGCTCGCGTCTCATATTTCTGCCATCCAACCAAGTGTTAAACGGTTGGAATCCGGTAACAGCAGAGTTTGTCGCGAAGCACACCAAAGCAAGGGGTGGTTGGGAAAGTTGGCTGTCGCACACTTCCCCGTGCACACCAAGTGTTTACAACTGCCGAAAATGAGACTCTGAACTGAACGTTGACAGAACCCAGGACCAAACCTGTCACCCTTGCCTCGGTTTCCCCCCAAACCAACCCACCCTGGTTTGTTTTGGCCTCGATCTTTTGGAGTTCGCTGTGTTTTTTTCGCCCACTCGTCAAATATTTCGACTTTCGTTACCCAATCAAACCCTTGCAAACCCAACCAAGTGTTAAACGGTTGGAAATTAGAGACGCGAGCTTTAAATGAAATAAAAGTGGCCATAGGTGAGGAAGCACATCGGAGAATCTGAAAACAAGTAATAACATATATGTTGATAAAATGACTTACCGCATACGGTTTTGCCGGCGCTATGAGAGAGAACGCTATTCTGGATATGAGTCAGTGCATGCTTGAGTCAAGGCAAGCTACCTATCATTCAACTTACAAACTGGGACCTTTGAGAAAGGGCCCCATCCAGCCTCAAGACTACGAAAAGAGCGCGGTGGTTCGAGCTTGAAGCTGGATTAGGTTAGGAGGACGAGGATGAGAATGGCGGAAATCGAGGGGGTAGAACCAGACGGCGCGGATCTGAATGTGCTCTGTTGTCGCGGGAAATGGGGGAAGAGCGCGGTGAAATGTGAACCTGCATACCATGTTGATCGGACAGGTGTGGGCATAAGGGCTATCATCACTCAAAGCTCTGGTGTAGTCAGGGGTGGATCGGCTCATCTTCGTGGGATCCACTGCTGTGGGCAGGAAGGTGAGAGGGAGAGAACGGAAGGGAGTGGAGGGGAATGTAGGTGGGAGGAAGTAAGCAAACCAACACCCCCTCAAGGATATTTGGCCCCACGGGGTCGGCTCTGGTGCAGTCATGGGTGGATCGGCTCATCTTTGTGGGATCCACTGCAGTGGGCAGGAAGGTGTGAGGGAGAGAACCCTAAACCCTGGGAGGGGAGGGGAGGGAAGGGGACGCCGGGGATTCCAAGGGAACGTAGATGAGAGGAAGCAAGCAAACCCTCCTCGTCCTTAGCCAGCTCTGGTGCAGTCAGGGGTGGATCGGCTCATCTTTGTGGGTTCCACTGCTGTGGGCAGGAAGGTGAGAGGGAGAGAACGGAAGGGAGTGGAGGGGAATGTAGGTGGGAGGAAGTAAGCAAACCAACACCCCCTCAAGGATATTTGGCCCCACGGGGTCGGCTCTGGTGCAGTCATGGGTGGATCGGCTCATCTTTGTGGGATCCACTGCTGTGGGCAGGAAGGTGAGAGGGAGGGAACCCTAAACCCTGCGAGGGGAGGGGAGGGAAGGGAACGCCGGGGATTCCAAGGGAACGTAGATGACAGGAAGCAAGCAAACCCTCCTCGTCCTTAGCCAGCTCTGTTGCAGTCAGGGGTGGATCGGCTCATCTTTGTGGGATCCACTGCTGTGGGCAGGAAGGTGAGAGGGACTCTATGAAGGGGGTTGAATAAGAAAGTAAGTGAGAGAGGTAGGTAGGTAAGTGAGAGACTTGGGGCTCCATGGGTTTCCGGTTTAGGGTTGCACGCAAAGATTAAGCTTAAGGGGATCGGCTCAATCTTTGTTGGGTCAACTGCTGTGGGCAGGAAGGTGCGAGGGAGGGAACGTAGGTAAGAGGACTGGTGCTGCTAGTCCCTAAAAAAAACACGTTTTGAATTTAGGCAGGCAGGAGTAGTTGTCAAGCGTTCTTCCCTGCCTTGATTGCGGGATTCCCTCACAGAATGTTGACTTTAGGCAGGCACCTCTCTGTTTCTCTCCAATTCTTTGACTCTGCTCTGCTTCTCCGCAGGTTCTGGAGGCATCTGCAGTGAATCTCACACCCACGGTGCTGGAGCTGGGAGGCAAGGACGCGTTTATAGTGTGTGATGACGCGGACCTGAAGCAGGTAGGGAGCAGCATGCCTGCAGCAAACAGGGCAGGGCAGCTGAGGTGGGGTGGAGTTCACCCTATTTACATTCTGATCTCACACCCACGGTGCTGGAGCTGGGAGGCAAGGGCGCGTTCATAGTGTGTGATGACGTGGACCTGAAGCAGGTAGGGAGCGGTTGATGTGGGGTAGGACAGTTGAGGTGAGGTCCCCTCTCCTATAGTTACAACGTGACTCTCTCAATGCTGAAGCTGGGAGGCAAGGGCGCGTTTATAGTGTGTGATGACGTGGACCTGAAGCAGGTAAGAAGCAGTTGAGGTGAGGTAGGGCAGTTGAGGTGAGGTGCCCTCTCCTCTAGTTACAACGCGACTCTCTCAATGTCTAATTGCTCGTTACTGCTCACCCTCCCCCCCTCTCTCCTTCCGCCCCTCCACCCCCCCATACAAAAAACCCTTTGGCTATCGTATCCCAGGTTGTCCCCATCGCTCTGAGAGCTGTCTTTCAGTGCAGCAGACAAGACTGCATTGGGGCGGAGCGGTTTTTCTGGATGTGTGTCCGATTAACCACCACGGCTTAACAAGTCCTCCCCTTCTTCCCACCTCTCTCTTCCTTCCCCAACCCCAACTCTCATCTCAGGTTGTCCCCATCGCTCTGAGGGCTGTCTTTCAGTGCAGCGGACAAGGCTGCGTTGGGGCGGAGCGGTTCCCTGTGCTGCATGCTAAATAAAAAACCCCTTCTCATCTCCCCCATAATTCCCCCGCTCGCAGGTCATCCCCATCGCTCTGAGGGCTGTCTCTCACTGCAGCAAACAAGACTGCGTTGGGGCGGATAATGTCGAAATTAATACCTCCTTCCCCCCCCCTCCTCCTCCACCCTTTATTCCCCATCGACTTTGTCTTTCCAGGTTGTCCCCATCGCCTTGAGGGCTGTCTTTCAGTGCAGCGGACAAGACTGCGTTGGGGCGGAGCGGTTCCTCTGACAGTGTGCCTTGGGTATAATCCCTTCAAAACCCCCACCCCCTCCCTTCCCCCCTCGGCCTCCCTCTGCCATTGCACCCCAGGTCGTCCCCATCGCTCTGAGGGCAGTGTTTCAGTGCAGCGGGCAGAACTGCATTGGGGCGGAGCAGTTCGCTTTAGTGCATGCATGCCTATTCAACACTCATTTTCCGTTCCCCCTTCCCTCTCCCAGGTCGTCCCCATCGCGCTGAGGGCCGTCTTCCAGTGCAGCGGGCAGAACTGCATTGGGGCGGAGCGGTTCTTTGTGCAGGCCGGCATCTACGACCAGTTTGTGGGGGAGGTGGTATCTGTGGCGCAGCAGATGCGACTGGTACGTGGAATGCTAACAGTAGCAACCGTTTTGTCGTTCTGTGGGGGAGGTGGTATGCATGGAGAAGTGGACGAGACTCTTGGTGTGAGGGATTCCTAGTGGATAAAACGTTGCTGGTAGTATCATTGATGCTCCAATTTGTGGGGGAGGTGGTATCTGTGGTGCAGCGGATGCAGCTGGTAGGTACCAGTGGCAGCAACATTCTTTTGTGGGGGAGCCGGGGACTTGCTGATGGAGAGGCGGAGAGAGGGGGAGAGGGAGAAAGCCTGGGGGCGCACAAGGGATAACGTCTGTTTTATATTCGAGAGCACAGGTGCCTGATATAGGTGTAACCTGAGAATTTACTTCCAAGTGAAAATTCACTTCTGAGTTGACTTAGAAGTGTCCTTCTGAGCAGAGGAGTCAGGGAAGAGCGAGAGGAGAGGGTTCAGAAGAGACCTTATTCTGCACTCTGCTCTCGCTCTTTTCCCCTTCTCCCTGATGGGCTTCTTGATGACACATGGGCTAGAGGGAGAAGAGCAAGACGTGATGAACGGGGGAGGTAAAAGGTAGCAACGTTTTAGGCGCCCGAACAATTCTCTGCTCTGCTTTTCCATATGCTCCCGCTCTCTCTTCCGCCCTGTGTCCCTGCTCTCTCTTGCATGTCCCAGGGCTACCCTTTGCCTGATGAACTGGAAGGACGAGATGAGATGAATGGGGAAGGCAACGCAACCATTTCTGATTCCCAACAGGAAGGGGTGGGAGGTGGAGAAGTGGGAAAAGTAACAAGAGGGGGAAAGGAAGCGGGAGCAGTTCAGGAAAAGGGAGAAAGAGGAGAGAACAGTGGTGGTGGTGGTGGAGGAGAGAGGGCGCAAGGGGGGCAGAGACAGGGAGGGATGGGGGGAGAATCTATGTCCACGTCAGCAGAAGGTGTTGCTGACATGGGTGCGATCTGCATGCCACATCACGTGCAGCAGCTTCAGCGATTGGTGGATGAGGCGGTGGGGCAGGGGGCACGGGTGGTGGTGGGGGGGAAGATACCTCTGGGAAGCTGTGAGGACCTCAGCTTCAGCCCCAGAGGGAGTGAGGCTGGAAGAGAGGGTTTGGGAGAAGTAGCAACAGTAGCAGCAGCAGCAGGAACAGCAGCAGTGGGATCGGCAGCAACACCAGCAGCGGCGGGAGCAACAGCTTCTGACGGAGCCCTCCCCTTTGGTTCTTCTTCCTCCGGCCGCCCGTCCCTTGGAGGCCAGTTCTACCCCCCCACCGTACTCGTTAATGTGCAACCCACTATGCGCATACTGCACGAGGAGGTTTTCGGCCCTATAATGTGCATCGTGAAATTTGAAAATGACCAAGAGGTGGTAGCGGCGGTGAATGACTGTCCGTTTGGGCTCGGTTGTTCGGTGTTCTCGGGGGATCGGAGGCGGGCCGCTGCTATTGGAGCGGCAGTGCAGTGTGGGATGGTGGCGATTAACGACTTTGGATGCACCTACATGTGCCAGGTAACGAGTTCGTCATGTTTTTAGATGCGCAAAACAGGTATCCATCTGTCATGCATTGCTCGTACGTATGTGCCTGCTATCATCTTTCAGTCAGGTACCACATCACACTTCCACTCTCTCTCCTTCCTCTCTCGCTGTATTTCCTCTGATAATCTCCTCACTGTTCCCTTCCTCTCCTGTCCATTTCCCCATTGAACCTCCGTCCCCCTCTGCAAACCCAATCAGTCACTGCCATTTGGCGGAGTGAAGGAGAGTGGTTTCGGCCGGTTTGCAGGGGTGGAGGGGCTTAGAGGGTGCTGTAACGAGAAGGCTATTGTGGAGGACAGGTTCTACTCACTCATCAAGACCAACATCCCTCCGCCTCTCCAGGTATGTGCTGCCCTTGCTCTAGCCTCTCCATCTCTCTGCTTCCCAGGATTCTTTGAAAAATCTCAATAATTGTCGTAAGCACAGTACCCTCTAGCCCCCAACGCAGTGCCAGCAGGCGCTGGTGCGCATGTTCTTCGCCCACACCCTGCTAGCCCAGCTCTCTGTAGTATCCTGATCCGTCTCACTGTGTTGTTCCTCTTATACTTCCCGCCCTCTCTCCCTTCACGTCCTTCCCCACACACACAGTACCCCCTGGCACCCAATGCAGTGCCATTCCAGCAGGCGCTGGTGCGCATGTTCTTCGCCCACACCCTGCTAGCCCAGCTCTTTGGTCTCTTCCACCCTTTTGCCCTGTCTTCCCTTTCCCCAAACACCCCTCAACTCTCCCTCCTCCCTCCCCCCCCTCCCCTCCTCGTCCCCCCTCTCCTCCCCCCCCCACATGCACAGTACCCCCTGGCACCCAACGCAGTGCCATTCCAGCAGGCGCTGGTGCGCATGTTCTTTGCCCACACCACACCCTGCTGGCGCAGCTCTCATCCTAATCAGCCCTTTGCCTTCTCCCTCTCCCTGCTCAAACCTCCCACCCCCCCCTGCGCCTGCACAGTACCCCCTTGCACCCAACGCAGTGCCATTCCAGCAGGCTCTGGTGCGCATGTTCTTCGCCCACACCCTGCTGGCGCAGCTCTCTGGACTCTTCCACCTGCTGCTGGAGCTCATGCGCTCACCCAAGAGGACAAACACACAGCAACGCCCAAGCTCGGCCGCCCATGTTGCTGGTGCTGGTGCTGCGACTTCTGCTGCACGGCGCAATTCAGGTGTAGGTGCGTCAGGTGGTGAGAGGCCACATATTGAGTAGAAAATGCTGTTTCGTAGGACAAGGTACATCTGTTGCACTTCTTAGAGTTGGACAAGCTGCAGTCAGCATCCTGTGGCCGTAATAGAAACAGTTGGGAATTTTTGTAGGCCAGAGATTGTAACAAATTCTGTTTCAGGGCCCTTGGAGTGCGGCATTCTCAGGCTTGTGTCAGGCTTTCTGAAGTCAGCAGCAAGCCATGTTGACAAACACAACTGAGCATCATCGTGAGGCTGTCTGAGATTGAATCCTGGAGGAATGTAGCCAATTCTGGTTCTGGAGGTTGGCAGGCTGACAAGCTTGTTGACTGACTTATTTTTAATACAGTAAGTACATTCTACAGTACACCATGCCTCCTTACTTCTTCTGCAGAGAGGCAAGCAGCTGGCCAGCACCGAAAGCAGCAGCTCCGCCAAACGCACACAACAACGAAACCACAACCTGAGCGACAATCAAGCCAGTGCTGTCATCCGGAACGAAGTACACGAAAGCAGGGCCGGCAAGAAGCAGGAGGAAGGCGAGGGCTTGAAGAGTGCCAGGAGTGGACCGGTCAGTGGCAGCAGAAAGAATACCGAACTCCTCAGCCTTGGAGAGAAGGCCGAGCTCCTCAATGGCTGTCAATGAGAGGCCGAAGGACTCTGCGAGTGAGAGGAGGCCTGCTTGCTCGGCCTTGGAGAGCAACCGCAGATCCTCCACGCGTGAAAGCAGGCGGATTTCTGGGTCCGAGCCTACGACCTTGCCGCGAACGCCGCCGGTCTTGTCCTCGCCGAAGAGCTCAACGACCTTGACCTGCAGGGATGAGGGAAGGGTTAACATGGGAGGTAGAAATGAGAGGTGCTCCACAGCTCTGGGTGAAGATTGTTGTGGTACGTTTGTTACTAACTTGACATTGCCTTTTCACTAGCACGCAACGGCGCGGGAGGAGCCGTTAGTTCCCGAATGTGGTAAATGTCATTCTTTCACTCGACGTACAAATAGCGACTCGATCTGAAAGTAGCGCGGAACGTCTAACAGTGAAAGATGTTATGTCTATGTGTTTAGTCAGGCACGTTAGCCGGCTGTATCTCCTGAACTGATATCAACGTCGCGACCTCTACTTGGGAAAAAACTAATGAGCACATGGTGAAGAGAGGACTGACGAGGAGCATGTGGTGAATCATTAAAGCAGGGTAAGACGGCGGGGTAACGAGAGGGAAAAACCAGGAATATGTTAAAAACAGGGTCAATGAAGATGTATGGACTGTGAAGCATGCACATAAGATGCAGAAAATGCAGTAGGGGATAAGACATGGATGAGTTTGATTTTTCTTTGATAATCCAGTGCAGAAGGCAATCAATGGAGAAGAGAAAGGGCCAAACGAAGGAGTCGTACATTTCTCAAGATCTTGGTCCCAGCGCGAACTGTAAGGTTTCTCCTAGCCGGAGCCGCCTCGAGCTTCGGAAGGCCAACAGCGACAGGGGCCGCGAGGAAAGAGCTGCGGAGGACGGCAGAGGCCATTGTGAGCTTGTTCTGAATAATCTCTGAGAACGTCGAGTGATTATCAGAGCGTTAGTCAGAACAAGTCTCAATGGTGACTGTCAAGGATCAAGGATTAATCCTGAGACTGTTGGAAGTGAGTGATAAGAAATTGCTGTTTTCCTCCGCTGTGCCATCGAAGTCAGTTGGGGGAGACTGCTGTGCTGACCTCTCTCGATGGAAAGCTCAGGAGGTTTGGGGCTGCTTTGAGGTCTGGTATGCCTAACCACCAGTGAAACATGGCTTGGGCAGGTTCGGTTAGAGCTTAACCTTCGTATTTCACGCTTCACCCAGACCTCTTGAGGCTGGTAACGGCTGACAAGGCCAACGAATCGGCTTGATATTAGGTTTGGAAATTCGCCAGGAACTAGCTAGGGGAAAATTGGTGGGAGGTATTCCGCGAGAAAGGGAGGGGGAGAGCCTCATGGTCAGGAAATGTCGACGTGGCAAAAGAGAACTGGGCATTGCGTGGTTGCCGCTAGTTCTGGATTGCTGGGCATCTGCTGGAGTGGCACAGAAAGTCGCAGCGCGCCTGGGATCAGGCCCTCCGCTGCAATTGGTGTTTCCAGGATGCCGATGTGAGCCACCTTTCATCGCGTGACAAGTGTGTGAGGTGCTTGTACTCTTTCGGAGGTGCTCCCTTAGTTTTAGAAGCTGAGTGAAAGTGAAAATGGACACCACGCTAATCTAGTAGTCATGGTGGTGTCCTACAACACCAACACCACAACATCCTTGCTTGGTGCTGGTACAAACAAGGCCATTCCATCGACACCAAGGAGGATAGGATGTAAATAACAACGCAAATGCTTTCCAAAACATGTACATCAACGATTAGCTTTGATTATTTGACTAGCTACCGTACAATGAATAACCTCTAAAGCCTAGTACCCCAAAGTATCCCGCAGAGACATTAGAGCACCAACTGAAGAGGGGGCAAACTTGCGTGCAAACAGAAAACACGGGGCCCGCTCTCCAGCAACTCTGCATGGACCAGGAAAGGCGACATCTAAAAGGCCGACATTCTCTGACACTGCAAAATGACGCCTTTGCATCCTCTCTATCAAAGCCGCCGTCACACTGCTCCCAGAGTACATTAACGGGTGCTCAGCCTTGTAATGTGGCCAATCCACATGCATGACTGAGTGAGGTTCTATGCCTCTACGATCATATCCCCAGACCACTGTCTGAATGTAGCCCTCATCAGGATATTCCCCTCTGCCCCTGCCGAAGGTCACATAGTACTTCATATCTTCCACCACTAACGCTGCATGCGGGCGTGTCAGCACGAACCACTGAGAACCTTTTCTAATCTGCCATGGATGGATAACCTGGCGTGGCATGAATATCCAGAAATATCGTGGAAACCTCCACCAGCGAAGCACTGGAAGGACTGCCAGAAAGCTTCTATCCTCTGCAAAGAGGTACTCGTAAATGAAATCAAAACTCCGGATGGAAATGCAGGCCTCTGACAGCAGCACGAACCGCTGATTGACTGGATTCTCGAGCCCTGCTGCAAGAAGTCGCCTGGTAGCTTGAATCATTGATGGCATCCCCCTTACAATCCTCAATCCTGGAATCTGGGTCCCCCAGAATACACTGCCTTTCCCAACATGTGCATTCACGTCCCAGCCCTCTGTCGCCGCATGGACATAGATCGAGGCACGGTCCATGTTCCCACGGAAAAACTCCTCCCAGAGAGGTTGGAAGGGAAGAGGCCCTCGAGTGAGGAACAAGAATGCGATTTTAGGCAGCGTCCCGTTAGGCAGGAGCATTGATGGTGTAAATGTAGGCGAATGCTGCTTCGTCTCAACCACGGCTACCACAGTCCTATTATTGGCATTTCCGCCTCTCTCCAAAGCTTGAATCGACAGCTGGCTGAGATGTGAATGGTCCTCGTAATCCTCCTCCTCTCCGCCCTCCAGCCCCTCTATCCGATGGTGGTGAAGCCGTAGAGATGCTGGTAACTCGGTGATAGGAACCAATTGATTGACTGGCGGTACAAATTGGCGCTCGGTCTCCATGGCTCGCTGAATCAGCATGCTGTCAGCTTCATCGAAGAAGGTGTACGAGAACCAGTAAGCGGTGAACAATTGCCACAGCCCCACAGCCGCGAAACAGTAGAAAATCGCTCCGAATACGAACAGACACCTGGTGCATGGCGAAGTCGTTGCGACAAGAATACGGAGTTTAGAGATGTAAGCTCCTGAAACAGGAGATTGATGTGGAGATGGCATTTGATCCGAAGACCCTACTCGTTCTCTGCTGTACCGGCTTCCTCGCCTGACTCTACCCGGACCTTGACGACTGAAAAGCTTTTCGTGGCCGTGCGATTTACTTGGCTGCGATTGGTCTTGGTGCTGCTGCTGCTGCTGCTGCAGATGCTGCTGATGTGGATGATGATGACGTCTATCTACGAACGGATCACGCTCGTTCCCCGTCGTTATTCTGTCTTGATTGAATGTGGGCTGCGAATGTTCTAACTCGAACGGTTGCCGTCGGTGTGAAAAGTCGCTGTTTGCTGCAGGGACCAGAACGGCCGCTTCAATTGACTTCCCTGCCTGGGCTTCTTGATCAAGGAAGGTAGTTCCTAGTCGACGCTTCTCTGCCATCCGGGAAGTAGAGTCAGAAACGCCAATTCAGCTAGAAATTCTCCAATCACGACGCAGAAAACTGTCCCAAGAACCCCTGAGCTTTTGAATATATTAAACTTCATGGAATTGGCCGACAACTAGACACTTGAGCAACTATTTTGAAGACTTCTAAGGAAAATTTAGCCTGTTCAGAGCGTAAGATACGAAGTAGGTTGGGTCTCATGGCGGTAATATTGCCTGGCAGCCCGGGTAATGAGGATTCTACCATACTGTGAAATCAAACGTGTAAAATCTGGGCGAGTTTGAGCGGGAAAGCACCTTTCGACCGCAACGAAAATGAAGCATTCGTTACAAATATATTGGCGAACTATCCGTTCGTCGTCACGACACCGTAACCAGCAATGACCGTTTGGGGAAGGAGGCTCTCCCATTCGCGGAAATATGCACCCCTTTACCGAAACAGGTTAGCGAAACAAACCAGCATAATTTCGTATTCGTGAACCATGGCCCTTCAGGTTGGCAGGATTCCACGAACAAGGTTCAACTTCAGACCCTCACCCTAAAGCCCAAATTGTCCATGCCCGTCCTAAATTACTCTGTGGATAAGTTCAGGCGATTCAGGCTTGTAGTAGTGCTTCCCTTTCCTGCTACCTGTTTACAAGAAATTAGACATTTTTTCGGTGACCTATGGAGTCGGAACCATCCAAACGTTTCAAATCAGGTGACCAACAGCCGCCAGCGTCCTCTGATGATTTTGAGTGTCGCCGATATTTGACGCCTGAAGGTTGTCCTTTCGGCGACAGATGCCGTTATCGCCATGGTGCTGAGGGTACGGATGTCTCTTATGTTTTTTCTCATGGCATTGGTTCTTTTTAAACTATTAGGTACTAAATCGT